TTTTTGATTGACCTTTTTTTGAGAGACATAACTATAGTTTGATTCAGTAGACATAACAATAGTTTGATTCAATTCAATAGACATAACTACATTATTAATTAACTTTGCTGTTTAGAATCCTATCTCATTTATTTTTGTGCCACTAATTTGTGATTTTTACCATTAATATTTAATATATATGAATAAATGAAATGCCAAAATCTGCTGCAAGCAATGCAGCCACCTAACAAAAAGGCCTTTGACCCTAGGCTACCTCAGGCCTACTAATTTGAGGTAGAGTCATGGTGTACAGGGTAAAGCTTGCCAATTTTGGTGCTTTTAACGTTTTAAGGGCATATTTTTCATTATGAACATATTCTCTTCAAGAAAAAAATGTTGATATGAACTTCCCGCGGCCATGGCTTTAGCCAGTGGGAGCTCATAGAAGTTACGCCACTGAATTAAAATTTGGTGGTGCTGTTGTAAATTAAAAATAGATTAATACACATACCATCCATACAGTTGGTTCCAGTCCATCCTGGTGTACACTCACACATGAAGTATTCTTGTTCTCCATGTTCAAATGGATGGCATGTGCCACCATTTCCACAAGGATTGGGAGCACAAACACTGGAATAACCTGGCAACTCAAGAGACACTGAAAATATTAACCAGTATGTGGATGCATATTAATCAGGTGAACTATATAAAATGAAACACTGGTAGTACATTATTAAACAAATGAAATTAATAATATAATGAAAATAATACAATGAAATAAATTATAGTTTAAATTAAGTTTAAAATAGTTAATGACTCCATGTGAAAAAAAAAACCCGAAAGTTTAAATACCTAATGTAAAAGACATAAAAATAGGCAGAAAAACATGGATTTCGATAGTCTTACTTACTGTAAGAACAGTATTTTTCACAACTGTCTTGGGATTGTTTTCAGTTTTAAAAGATATTCAGAATGCTTTACATTCATATTTTAAGTGGTGATTTTTTTATCAAAATGTTTATAATAAAAAAAAAAATGTTAGACAAGAAAATACTCTACAAACTTGAATAGCTAATTCAAACATGAAAATACGCAAGCTGTTTACCTTCAACATCTCGTCGTCTTCTTCCGGTGGCTGCAAATGAGAAATGGTACACAAGTAAAAAATAATCATGATTTTATATTATACTTGATTTGACAGTGTTATAAAAAAATATATTTACTGTGTATCATTAGTGCTGATTTCTGTTAATGAAATACCAAGGAAAATAAAACTATTAAATGAACTTATATGTACCTGGTTGACAAACGTACATAGTTGGCGTGAAAAAGCACTCTTGTCCAGCATTGCAAGGATTGCTGTCACAAGGAGTTGATGTTGTTCCTGGATAATAGAAAACGATATAAAATATTACAGTGGCTTCTTTACTTTACTACTCAACAATAATTTATAAAGATGATTAAGTACCTGATCCTCATAGAAGCAAACAGTATTACATTCAAAATCCTCATAAACATTTTATTGCTTTTAGCCTCCGAAGGAAAAAAAAGATTTTCTCAAATTTTAGGTTTCTATTTGCTACTGTTGTTGTTGTCTTACTTAAAATCCACAAGTTTCAGTTATTTCTTACCTGATGTTTGACAGTTTGTGCCAGAGAAACCTCCAGAGCACATACACATGTAAGTTGTAGTAGTAGGTGTGGTGCATATTCCGCCATTTTGACATGGATTTGAATTACACGGACTTGATGCTAAAAAACGAAAAAAAAAATAAATAAATAAAAAAATAACAATGACAGGAGTTAATTACAATGGTGGGGAAACTGGATAGACATATGGATGGACAAGTAAATACCAGAATATAATAAGAGAGAATGAAAGTTTGAGGACTGGAATGTGGTTACGACATGATGACAATCAATCAATCAACAGATTTATAATGAATGATGGACGATTGATCGATGATTGATGGATGTGTAGAATGACTGATGGATAATCTATGATGTTTATGATGATGGTAGTGGATTATGATTGGCCTTGTGTGCCTCATGGCACAGAAAAGAGAGATGAGGTGAATGGATGATGATAGATGATGATGGTGTGCACACACATGGCGTCTGTTCATATGAAATAGATGCGTACTGTATACTAGTTTATTTTTTATCTTTCCACAAAAGTGCCACCATCATCATGTACCAATTGTATATAATCTCCAAAATAACAAAATTATTAATATTATTTTATGTAAAATGTAAAATATAAAACTTACAGCCGATTGTTTCACAGGTAGTGCCACTATAGCCTGCTGCACACACACACATAAAGGATGTTCCAGATTCCATACACATACCATTATTTTGACATGGGTTTGGATTGCAAGCTGTACTTACTGTATATGCAACAAGAAATATCACTGGTCAAAGAATATTACAATGCATAAGGAAGTTAATGATTTAAGGCAAGCTCAGATTTTTTTTGCTGTGAACATAAGCAAACAGTATCCGAAGAAACATCTTGTTCAGAGGTAAACAGGATCGATGCAGATGGTAGCAAATAAGAGGTGCCTTGTTCTGCACTAAACAGTAGAAAGTGGTACCAGCCGCTAAGGAAGCTCTTGTTCTGCAGTGGACATACCCCAGCTGGAGGTGGTACCAACAAAGGACATCTTAAGAAGTGGACAAAATAGCACCATTAAGGTAGGATTTTCCTGTAATATAAATAGCTACCAGCTGTGTATAAATTGTAAATTATAATTTACTGAACATAATTAATGTTCTGCATATTACAGGGGCGGATCCAGAGATGTCCGAAAGGGGGACTGAAAGTGGGGTCGATCGAGACAACACCACCCTTGGTGGTCAGGGCTTTCCTGTTTTCTAGATGCTCGAAAATAACCTCTGGAGCGTTTTGGACAATCAATTATTGCTTTTCTTTCATTTTTTTTCTTTTCCCTTTTCAAAAGGGCAGGGGGGGGGGAATATGCCACTGAATAGATGAAGTGCAACATGTTAGGGAGGCTTTCCTTTCTTTCTGAATTGATCAGACAGAACTGGTACTTGGAATGGAGGTCCTTCTTGCAATGTGGTCATACTTGTGAGAAATCATCAAAATTAAGTTGCCTCCATTAGGAAGGCCCTCATATAAAAGTGGTCAAATGAAAGTGGTTCAAATTAGATGGAGGATTGCTTTCGGATTTTGTCAGATAAAAATAAGTGGAATTGGTTATGATGAAATTGTTCAAAATCCAGTTTTCAACTATATCATACAATTACAACACATTATGACTAAATTCACATTGTGCAAGCCCCTCTGCCACTTGGGGAGTATTCCTAGTTATCTATCAGCACTACTAATTTAATTTTGAAACATTTATCTCCTACCAGGCACCCACTTCTACTCCTGGGTGAAGAGAGGCAAATGCAGATAAAGTATCTTGCCTAAGAATAAAAACAGTTTGACGAGTATCAGTCCTAACCTTCCGATTGAAGCTTAAAGGATTACACGATGTGCAACACACTTCCATATCTAGGTATTGGAGTAGTCAGGGACGGATTTAGGGTCCCCCTTTTGGGAAGTTAAAAAAAAAAGGAAAAGAAAAAATTGGTCGCCAAAACGCCTAAGAAGTTATTTCTGGCCATCTAAAAAACTAAAATTTTGTGGGGCATACCCCCCGAACCCCTTAGGATAGTGATGTCTCGATCAGCCCCACTTTCGGCCCCTTTTCCGGATCCCCCTTTTGGACATCTGTGGATCCGCCCCTGGTTGTTTTTGGGCGTTTAGAAGAAATGATAGGAATTGAACCCAAGACCTGGGAATGAAAACCAAGAACTACCAAGCTACAGTGCCTTCACTGCAATGTGTGATTATGATATGTTATGGTGATTATGATATGTTATGATCATTATATGTTATATGATATGTTATGAGCATTATATGTTATGATCATTATATGTTATATGATATGTTATGATCATTATGATATGTTATAGAATATGTTATGATCATTATATATTATTATGATCATTATGATATGTTATATATGTTATGATCATTATGATATGTTATATGATATGTTACGATCATTATATGTTATATGTTATGTTATGATCATTATATGTTATATGTTATGTTATGATCATTATGATATGTTATATGATATGTTATGATCATTATATGTTATGATCATTATATGTTATATGATATGTTATGATCATTATGATATGTTATATGATATGTTATTATCATTATATGTTATATGATATGTTATGATCATTATGATATGTTATATGATATGTTATGATCATTATATGTTATATGATATGTTATGATCATTATATGTTATATGTTTTGATCATTATGATATGTTATATGATATGCTATGATCATTATGATATGTTATGATACGTTATGCCATTGTGATATGTCATGATCATTTAAAAAAGAATAAAACTGATTTCAAATGGGATAATTTATACTATAGGTCTAATTTATGCTGTAGGTCTAATTGCTGTGTTCAACAGAAATTCAAAAATATATTAAAAATGAGTGCCAATATATGAGCTTGTACATGTACAAGAATATCCCTCAGCTCCAAGATCATTACAAGTCCCACTGTTAAGGCAAGGAGCACTGCTACATGCAGTACTCACTACATAAACAACATGCAATATTATTTTATACACAAAAAAAGCAACATACCATATTAAACATATTTGAGCAATTAACCATAAATAATCCCAGCATTACTGTACATAAATATATTATTATTTCAAACTGAAGCATTGGTAGGAGAACAGAATAGATAATTTGATCTTTCAAATTGTATTATTTATACTATACAGTTAAACTTGCCTAAGTTGAATAATTCCTAAGTCGCTCTTATTTTACATGCCAAATTATTGTGTTTTCCATAAACTAACAATCTGTAAGTCGAATTTTATTAAGTCAAACAGTATTTTAATGCCATTTTGGATTCGACTTAGACAAGTTCAACTGTAGATCTAATTGTTGTGCTAAACAGAAAATGAAAAAAAAAAAAATTACCAGCAGATTCACAACGAGTGCCAGTATATGAGCTTGTACATGTACAAGAATATCCCTCAGCTCCAAGATCATTACAAGTCCCATTGTTAAGGCAAGGAGCACTGCTACATGCAGTACTCACTACATAAACAACAATAAACAACATAGTATAGTGGAAATCAGGGTCCCTGCGACCATTTTTCAGGGACCAAGGTTTTTCTACTGATTTAGAATCAATAGGCCGGGTATATATAACAAATTGAGAGGGGGACGGGGAGCAGAACAAATTTTTAAAATTCAGATTGGATTTATTCGGTGTAAACACCAAGGAGCCCACGAAAGTCTAGAAGACGACTTATTTCCAGTGGGGTCCTTCTGGTGATGATTGGGCAGTACACTGGGAGATAATCCCCTACTCTTTTCCGAAGAGTGTACTGCGGTCTTTAACGTGCACATTGAATTTAAAAATGGCTGCCATCCCAGCTTATTGAAACCATGTCAACATGATTAGATACCAAATTGACCATTTTTTTTTAATGAGAATTCGAGACCATTTTATGGCGGCCATCCTGAATTTAAAAAATGTCTGCTATTCTAGGTTTTTATAACATATCCCACTGAATTTGGTGACCCCAATAACATATACTTAGACACCAGATTTAGCCTTTTTCATTGGGTATAAGTAAAGTTATAAGCCACTATGTAAATTATGGCGGCCATTTTAAAAATGTCCACCAATAATTTGTTCTGCCTTTTTGAGGAGGTACCCCCGCCCAATTTTATATTTATACCCTAGTAATGCTAAATCAGTAGAGAACCTTGGTGCCCGAAAAATGTCACAGGGCTCTAATTTTCACTATACTACATGAGTATTACAAAAAAGCAACATACAATATTATACATTTATGTGAGAAATTATCCATAATAATCCATATGTTAATAAAATATTATTATTTATATCCATAAACCGGAGGTGCTACCCACATAATAATATATGTTAATCAAATGATAGTATACCAACCCCTAAATACAAGCTTTGATAAAGGCTTATTGTTAAGGTTAATGAATGCATTTTGAGACATACTTCTATCGATACGATTGGTATGTATACAGTATTACACAAAACAATAATGGCAAATTATGGGCATATAGAATACGTAAATATATACCTAAATAAATAGAAATCATCTTTTTTTGAACATTAAAGATGAGTGTGAAAAAGAGACCTTCTGCTATATGCAGATGCATTAACCAAATGGGCCATTGAGGATTCTGTTTGGAATTTAAATCTGATTAAGCTTCTCACCCTCCACACTCTTTGTGCTGAGATCTCTCTTATTTTCTACAGTAGTAATTAACATTTTATACAACAATAATCGGTTAGTGATCATTAGTCATCATTTACACAAGAAATTACAATAAAAACATTAAAGAAAACAACATCAAAACAAATTTCAAAAACAAGAAGATAAATTTGTCATTTTCACATTAAGCACATTTGTTGCATAAACCATTAGTTTTCCAGTGTTTAAGGGGTATTGTCAAGAAAATAAATCAAGATGCAAGATAAGTTATTTTTTGAAATACATAATATAAAAAAACAGTGGAAAACTGTAATATTCGGCAGGATTCTGAGTTAAAAAGACATTTACCGATATATATTATATACAAGATACAAGGTTGTTCAAAATGCATAATAGAAAAAAGCAGAAAACTGTAATGCTCTGAGTTAAATTTACTGATACATTAATTGATTAGTGATCAGCTTAGCTGAGTCGGCTAATCTGGTGGTAGCCACTGTGTGTGCGTTGAACTATGGAGATCTCTAGGTTCCCGGTTCAATTTCCATCTGCCTCTCCCTGTGTTTCAGCGGATTCCTTTTGGGCAATTTCTTTTTCCTTTTTATTTTCTTGACTTCCCAAGCAAAAGGGGGAACCTGGGCAGGGTGAGCCCCCTTTGGATTCGCGCCTGCATAACTATTTCTTTTTTGCAGCGAACCCTTTTGTTTCGTGCAAATAAATTTGCCTAGTGGAAAATCTCTTTAAGAGAGACATGATGTGATGATCTGCAGTTGCTGACCATTTCCAGTACTTTGGAGCAAGGAAGGTTTGTCTGAATCACCTAATAAAAGTGATGAAAGGCATACCTAATGTTTCACATCGTGATCCAATATAGTTACTTGTACATGTGCAGTACTTCAAGACAGGCATTGAAGTGGAGGTTAACTGGCTGTGGTACATGTTGTTACAAGTTGCAGAATTAAGACATGGACTAGTAGCTGCTTCCAAAGTACACACATCCATACTAGGTACTTGAGCTGAAAATTATAATTATATTAAAACACACCATCACCATCTTTATTTATCATTGTCTAGCATGGCCTACTTGAAAGCCATATTATTCAACCCCAGATTGCCTATTGTCATAAAATGTTGAAAGGGGATGATTGTAAATGTGTCGCTCTCATACGTGAATCAATTCATTAATTTATTTTAACAGTGTTTTGCAGGGGTGGTCAATCCAGATGAAGCTATTTATTTCAGTTAAGTACATAGCAAGACAAAAGAAAATATGAATCAGACCTAAAAAAATAAAAATTGGATTAAATATTATTTATAATTACACTTTTTTTTTACCACTCTGTAAAACAGATAAAGAAAAAGAACCAGTCAAATTAGAATTAGAATGTCACATCAAAATATTTTTTCTTCCTCATACAAAAAGAAAATCACTATACCTATAGTGAATTGACATAGCGGCCCTGTGTAACCTGTTGCGCATTTACAAGAATACTGATCTGATTGTTGGACTGTTGAGCCTTGGTAGTAGCTGTTGTAGCATGTTGATCCAGCCATACATCGGTTGTTGGTTGAACAGGAATCAAATGATGGAGATGATGCTGAAAAACATAGACAAAATAAGCTGTAACAGTTGCTATAGTACTATATGTATAAACTTGTTTCATTTATTTCAATTTTTTATTTATTGGTATAAAAACATTCATAAGGCAACATAAAAATATTAAAAATTATCTGAATTCACAATACGAATGGAAGAAAAGTATAAAGATACAAGATAACTATATTGTCCAAAAGGAAATTACATTTGGATATTACATTGCATGAAAAATTTTTAAAAGTCAAACATATAAATATAAAGGACGTAAAATGAACATTACTCCGAATAAAGAGAGGGAGGCCATTAGATATAAATTCTGACATAAAGTCTATAGTACAATATTTACAACAAAACATTACATATAGATAATGCACTTAAGCCAACCAACCATTAAAGATTTTAACTGAATATGGAACAAAGGAGTATGCCTAAACTAAAACAATATGGAACAAAGGAGTATGCCTAAACTAACACTCTTCCTATTCAACTCAGATATCAGTTTCAACTTGGCTGCCTCACTTTTAAGGCACTACAAAATATTGCTCCTCAAACTATCTGTCAATCCATCACTAAAATCACTGCTAATTGCCGCATGAATACACGCCAGTAAACTAAACGTGATCTCCTTTGATAGGTGATATTCCCTAGGAATATTATTCCTAGGCCCTGCTTAAGGCAGGCTCAGGTCGACACGGAACTCAACTCAACTCAACTCGTCGACATGAGCGCTCCGCGCAACTGAAAGGAACTGACCGGAACTGAACGCAACTGAACGGAACTGACCGCAACTGAAAGGAACTGACAGTCGCGCATATTTGTCGACATGAGTCAAGTTGAGTTGAGTTGAGTTGAGTTCCTTTCAGTTGCCCATGTTCAACTTTTCTGAGTTAAAAAGACAGTTACTGATATATCACATCTATTCTCTATAACAAAGTAATTAACATTTATACAACATAAATTGGTTAGTGATCATTATTTAGAGCAAATCAATAATATAAAACAAAATTTTACAAAACATTTTACAAAGAATTTACAATAAAAACATTAAAGGAAATAAAACAAAACTTATTTCAAAAACAAGAAGATAAATTTGTCATTTTCACTTCCTGTTAAACAAAAAAATGTTAAATCAGTATTTACCAAGTGTTTCGCAACGTGTGCCAGTATACGAGGTTGGGCATGTGCAGGTGTATGATGTTACAAAATTGTTACATGCCCCTCCATTAAGACAAGGAGAACTGTTACATGGATTTGATGAAACTGTGGAGAAAAAATATAATCCAATTTCACTAAAGGTTTTCAATTAACATAATGATCACCAACATCAGACTATTATATGTTCTAAATTAAGGCAAGAGTACAATTACTGACTGCACAAAAAGAACAGCAACTATGCCAATGTTACTTAAAATATAAAACAAAGCATACAATTAAGCACATTTGTTGCATAAACCATTAGTTTTCCAGTGTTTAAGGGGTATTGTCAAGAAAATAAATCAAGATGCAAGATAAGTTATTTTTTGAAGTACGTAATATAAAAAAACAGTGGAAAACTGTAATATTCGGCAGGATTCTGAGTTAAAAAGACATTTACCGATATATTATATACAAGATACAAGGTTGTTCAAAATGCATAATATAAAAAGGCAGAAAACTGTAATGCTCTGAGTTAAATTTACTGATACATTAATTGATTAGTGATCAGCTTAGCTCAGTCGGCTAATCTGGTGGTAGCCACTGTGTGTGCGTTGAACTATTGAGATCTCTAGGTTCCCGGTTCAATTTCCATCTGCCTCTCCCTGTGTTTCAGCGGATTCCTTTTGGGCGATTTCTTTTTCCTTTTATTTTCTTGACTTCCCAAGCAAAAGGGGGAACCTGGGCAGGGTGGGCCCCCTTTGGATTCGCGCCTGCACAACTATTTCTTTTTTGCAGCGAACCCTTTTGTGTCGTGCAAATAAATTTGCCTAGTGGAAAACCTCTTTAAGAGAGACATGATGTGATGATCTGCAGTTGCTGACAATTTCCAGTACTTTGGAGCAAGGAGGGTTTGTCTGAATCACCTAATAAAAGTGATGAAAGGCATACCTAATGTTTCACATCGTGATCCAATGTAGTTACTTGTACATGTGCAGTACTTCAAGACAGGCATTGAAGTGGTGGTTAACTGGCTGTGGTACATGTTGTTACAAGTTGCAGAGTTAAGACATGGGCTAGTAGTTGCTTCCAAAGTACACACATCCATACTAGGTACTTGAGCTGAAAATTATAATTATATTAAAACACACCATCATCATCTTTATTCATCACTGTCTTAAAGCATGGCCTACTTGAAAGCCATATTATTCAACCCCAGATTGCCTATTGTCTTAAAATGTTGAAAGGGGATGATTGTAAATGTGTCACTCTTATACGTGAATCAATTCATTAATTTATTTTAACAGTGTTTTGCAAGGGTGGTCAATGCAGATGAAGTTATTTATTTCAGTTAAATACATAGCAAGACAAAAGAAAATATGAATCAGACCTAAAAAAATAAAAATTGGATTAAATATTATTTATAATTACACTTTTTTTTTACCACTCTGTAAAACAGATAAAGAAAAAGAACCAGTCAAATTAGAATTAGAATGTCACATCAAAATATTTTTTCTTCCTCATACAAAAAGAAAATCACTATACCTATAGTGAATTGACATAGCGGCCCTGTGAAACCTGTTACGCATTTACAAGAATACTGATCTGATTGTTGGTCTGTTGAGCCTTGGTAGTAGCTGTTGTAGCATGTTGATCCAGCCATACATTGGTTGTTGGTTGAACAGGAATCAAATGATGGAGATGATGCTGAAAAACATAGACAAAATAAGCTGTAACAGTTGCTATAGTACTATATGTATAAACTTGTTTCATTTATTTCATTTTTTTAATTATTGGTATAAAAACATTCATAAGGCAACATAAAAATATTAAAAATTATCTGAATTCACAATACGAATGGAAGAAAAGTATAAAGATACAAGATAACTTTATTGTCCAAAAGGAAATTACATTTGGATATTACATTGCATGAAAAATTTTTAAAAGTCAAACATATAAATATAAAGGACGCAAAATGAACGTTACTCCGAATAAAGAGAGAGAGGCCATTAGATATAAATTCCGACATAAAGTCTATAGTACAATATATACAACAAAACATTATTACATATAGATAATGCATTTAAGCCAACCAACCATTAAAGATTTTAACTGAATATGGAACAAAGGAGTATGCCTAAACTAACACTCTTCCTATTCAACTCAGATATCAGTTTCAACTTGGCTGCCTCACTTTTAAGGCACTACAAAATATCTCTCTCTTTCTATGGTTTAGTTAGTTATTCCCTCTGTCTCTCTCTCTTTATTTCTTCAGACTGGCCCTTAACTTGTACATTTTTTTTTTAATACGTTGTTTATTTTATTTTTTTTAGCTGTGTTTTTTTTTTTGCCTTTCATTTTTTATGCCATTATTATCCTGTTTTTAATAATTTTATAGTCAATTTAATGTTATTTTAAATTTTATTTATATAATATGTATATATAATTTCTTTTCAATTGTTTTTATTATTATTATATCATTTTAATTTCTTTATATTTACTTTGTTACTTGTTTTATGTATTAAGAGTCCTTAATGATCAGCTCTGGCTGGATGCACCACTTTCGTAAAATATTGTTAAAAAAAAAAACATTTGAAAAAGGGTATAAAAATAACTTACAATACATTAATTATACAAGAATATACATAACATTAAATTTATTACAAGCAAGCCAATTCAACCTATGTACAATTGTCATTAAAATTTTAAAATATTACCTAAATCTAATTGCTAAAAAACATTAATTTATTATAAGAATATATTTATCTATCAAAATACATTACAAATTTATTGCAACAAAACCGTAAATAACTGAGCCACAAGCCGCAGATTTTGGTGGCTTTTGAACGCACTTATTTGAGTGCTTTTTAAGACCATACTTTGTGCTCTAACACAGGCTTATCTGGCATGTTCTAACGTTAGTGTTATTGCTGATTAATAGAAGAGACATTGACATGAACGCCTACTCTCATTTAAATGGTGTTACATTTATTCAAAACAGAATACACTTTGCATATCATGGCACTTATCCACAGGCGCTTGCAAAAAAAAATCATGTTTAATGCACACTTATTTCAGAGTGGCACTTATCAGATTATTTATAGTATCCAATCTTAAACTCCACTAAACTTCATAGAGAAATTTTAAAGCAGATTTGAATCGGTGACTTGTAATCACTTGCATGTGTAAAAATAACATCATCACCATCATTATGATCATTATTATCATCTTTATCACCACATTAATTATTATCTCCAATGTGTTGGTGCTAAGTTTTTCTGAATGGAAATTGGTTACCAAATTATTATTATTTATTATTATCTTCATTGTCTTATCACTTACTTAATAATGATCCACAGTTGGTGCCTGCATATCCTGTAGTACATACACAGATGTAGGAGCTGAAGATGTCAAAGCAGGTTGCTCCGTTTAGACACGGTGAGTTACTACAGGCAAGGGTTGCTTAAACAAAAACAATAACCATGATTAGTTATAAGTTATGGAAGTGTTTTAGGGGAGGGGTATATGGTCAGTGCAAAGCCAGGTAGCACTTTTAAGATTAAAAAATATAGTTTATTGAGCATGACGTCACCTAAAGAAGTTCATTTCGTGAATTACTCTTTTTTACTGATTGTGAATAACTGTAATTTTATGATTCAGAAAAAAGAAAGGTTTGTTTCCACTACAAATCGAACAGTCACAACGGACATGTCACAGCATAACACAAACAAAAATTTAAATGAAAATGTAAATGAAGTTGTGGATAGGATTCTAGGTAGGTAAAAATAAAGGTAGGAAAATTAGCCATAACCTGAAGAATCATTGAGATTAGGTTTCTGAAGCAGGTATATTAAAAAGGTGATTAGTGGCTTTATGTTCACATCTTTCAGCAATAAATTATTGCTTCATTGATTACATTAAGGCTTTTGTACATAAAGATGTGCATTCTATCTTTAATTCCTTGAAAGAAAACTTGGCATTCATTGGTTTATACAAGTTTGGTTATTATTTTTTAAAAAGTACCTCTCTACACATTCAACAAAACAAATTAATATACAAAATAAATATTTTTCAAAGAAAATTAAAAACTAAGAGCAGGTATGATTTTATTTTTTCTTTTTGGGGTGGGGGGGGGGAGGGGGAAGGTCCCCAAAAAGAGCAAAGTGGGTATAGTGTTGTTTGTCCAGATCCTCTGAAAAATATGACAATTTAGGGGTTTCAGAGGCTTATTTAATCAATTTTATATAAAGGAATTCTACTAATAAGTAGAAAATACATATTATTTTTCTTCTCCGTGACGTTTTTTTTTTGGGTGGGAAGGTACCCAAAAAGAGTAAAGTGGGTATGGTCGGGTGTTGTTGAAAAATATGACAATTTAGGGGTTTCCAGAGGCTTAAGCCGCAATCGCACTGGATTTAAAATAGGGAAATTTTTACCGAGACTGTGGGTAACATTCCAATGGGTAAACTTCCTGTCGTTCGCACTGGGATTTATCGACGTGGTTAGTTTTACCACAGGCCATGGTGAAACTAACCATTCGTACAGATTTAACTATTGGGGGCGCTAAATCGTGACGTTGACGCTCACGTACGACAGATCGTAACAAGCTAAACCGCCGGGTTCTCCTTCATGTTGTGACAGTGTTTCTTTGGACTAGGCCCACATCATGTTGTATTTGTTGATAATCGCGATGGATTGTCTCACCAAGACCTAGCACATTTATTAATGCTCCATATAAATCGGCCATTGAAACAAACCGAGTAAACAAGTGAAAAAATGACAAAATTACTCAAAATCAAGACACTAGCAAACAGCGCGAAATTAATCAAGATGTTTGTGTGTGACGTTTTATTCCAGGTCACAGGTCATGCGTAATTGCCTGACAGCCTGATGAAGGTCATTCACTGTGATGACTTGGGAAGTTTACCCGACTCGCGCTGTTCGCATTGGACTTTCCTGCTAGGTAAAACTAACCTGGTCAGTTTTCCTGGGCAAGCGGGACTCGGTTAAATTAACCGCGCGGCTAGATGTGTATAAGAGACAGATATAGTGGTTAATACACAAATGATTGTAAAGTCACACCCTCAAAATAGTGTTGCATAGCATGAGAACAGCAAACACAAAGACAAAACTTCAACATATACATAGGTTAAACAATTGAATAAACAACTGAAATGCTGAAACTATTATCAGAAAAAAAGAGAAAACTTTAGGATTATATTCACAAATAATACACAAATAATCACAAAGTTGTGTTGCTGTCAGTAACAAAATATTTTTTCATTTAATTTACCTCTGTTATAGTTTTGTTTAAATTAACAAATCAGACAGCCTTTGAGAAGAGGTCAGAGAACTCACCAGTCTCACACCGGGTTCCAGTATAACCAGATGGGCAAGTACAGACATACCCAATAGATGTTAGAGAGCAAGCTCCACCATTCAAACAGGGTGCAGATGCACAGGCATTTGTAACCACTATTTGAAAAATTCACATGGTGAAATATAGTGGTTAATACACAAATGATTGTAAAGTCACACCCTCAAAATAGTGTTGCATAGCATGAGAACAGCAAACACAAGGACAAAACCTCAACATATACATAGGTTAAACAATTGAATAAACAAATGAAATGCTGAAACTATTATCAGAAAAAAAGAGAAAACTTTAGGATTATATTCGCAAATAATACACAAATAATCACAATGCTGTGTTGCTGTCACTAACAAAATAGTTTTTCATTTAATTCACCTCTGTTATAGTTTTGTTTAAATTAACAAATCAGACAGCTTTGAGAAGAGGTCAGAGAACTCACCAGTCTCACATCGGGTTCCAGTGTAACCAGATGGGCAAGTACAGACATATCCAATAGATGTTAGAGAGCAAGCACCACCATTTAAACAGGGTGCAGATGTACAGGCTGTTGTAACCACTATTTGAAAAAAAATCACATGGTGAAATACAGTGGTTAATACACAAATGATTGTAAAGTCACACCCTCAAAATATTGTTGCATAGCATGAGAACAGCAAACACAAGGAAAAAAACATCAAAGTATACATAGGTTAAACAATTGAATAAACAACTGAAATGCTGAAACTATTATTAGAAAAAAGGAGAAAATTTTAGGATTATAGTCACAAATAATATAGTCACAAAATATTTTTGCTTTTAATTCACCTCTGTTATTATTATATTCACCTCTATTAAAATAATTATAATTCTGCTAGTATTTTTGTGGTTCCTGAGGGAATGAACAAGTTAAAGCACAAAATAAAGAGGTTACAGCTTGACAAACACCTCCATTTTGACATTGATTAACGGTTCACCCATTAGAAACTGTCAGAATAAAAATCAAAAAAGTTTTTTAATGGTTGGCACAGTGATCTGTGAAAATTATATATGGCATAAAGCATTATTAAATAAATTATTTAATAATAATATAAAAAAGAAAAGAGAAAATTTGAAGAATTTAGTTGTCGAACAAAAATCGAACAGCCTTTGAGAAGTCAGAGGACTCGCCAGTCTCACATTGGGTTCCAGTGTAAACAGATAGACAAGTAAAATAATACCCAATATATGTTACAGACAAGCTCCACTATTCAAACAGGATGCAGATGTACAGCCTGGTAACATAGTGGTTAATACGAAAACACGATTACAAAGTTGTGCTCCTGTCACCCTCAAAATATTTCTTTTATTTAATTCACTTCTGCTAGAGATTTGTTCAAATTATATTAGTATTTAATATAATCATAATTCTACTGTGATTTCGTTAAATGTTCAGTTTCATTAAATGTGACTTCAGTCATTGTTGGATGTTATTAAAATAAAGCAATACATTATTACTTACGAGTTTCACACAAGGTTCCAGTGTAGCCTGAAGGGCATGAACAGGTGAAAGCTGTACATGAAGAAGTTGCAGCTTGACAAACACCTCCATTCTGACATTGATTGACAGTACACCCATTAGAAACTGACAGAATAAAAATAAACAAGTGTATTATGGTTGGCACAATGATCAGTGAAATTTATGTATGGCATAGAGCATTAATAAATAAATTAAATATAATTTTTCAAAATAAGCATAAAAGCTTAAAATGAAAACAATTGTTATACCTAGTATATATTCACAAACTTAACTTAAAAGCAAATGTAGTCCCATATTCATTACTGAATGTAGGGGAATAAGCTGTTAGCCCATTGTATTAAGCCTTGGTATTGTGTGTTAGGGTGACCCATTCTTTTGCATGTCACCATTTTTCTTCTTCCGTAGTGAGCCACCGGGTACCCATTTATACTCCTGGGTGGAGAGAGACAAACCTAGATAAAGTGTCTCGCGCAAGCCCCTAACCTTAAGATTGGGAGTTCAAGCCACAAACAATGCACCAACCGCTTCTACAAAGTTAACTTAATATTGTTAAAAAGGTAATAAACTAATACACTCCCCACTGAAATATGAACAGAGTAAATTCTTGAAAGGGGGTAAACTGGGCATGTTCGCTTTTTAATGTTGTCAAAATAGGAGTTAGTATAGGGAGTTTGAATAGTTGAAATGAGGAATTGTCAGCTCCTCCCCCCAATTGTTTCCTAAAATATATTATGAATCTGCATCCCTTCAATCAATCTTCAATTTTTTTTAAATACTGAAATACTTCTTACATTTCTATCAGTTGATATTTTTTTTTTGTAATTGGTAACTTACACAGGGGCGGATTTAGGGGGGGGCCGGCCCGGCCCCGGCCCCCCCTTTTGGGAGGTAAAAAAATGAAAAAAAAAGAAAAAAAGAGAGAAAAAGAAAAAAATGATAGCCCAGAATGCCCCAAATGTTATGTTCGGGCGTCTAGAACACAAAAATTTCGCGGGGGCATGCCCCGGACCCCCTACGACAGTGTTGTCTCAATCGGCCCAACTTTCGGCCCCCCCTTTTGGACATTTCTGGATCCGCCCCCATTTCTGGATCCTCCCCTGGTGACCGTTTTAAAGTAGAACCCCTCCTTTTGGATACCCCTCATTTAGGATACCCCTATGGGGACACCCCTATGGGATCACACTTTCGATTGTAAAACGAGAGAAAATATAGGCCTTTATCTTTTTAATACTGGGCCAACTGTTCAGAGGCACGTCAAAGAAGGTGAGTAATTTTTTGTGAAATATGGGTTACTGCATTTCCTTGTGCATCGTTGTACCATGTGAAGATCAATCACAAATACTTCTCACAGCTCAATTCATTCATGAAATGTGGTTGCTATTTAAAAAAGAAAAACACACACGCCTTTCAACAGTAAATGACGTCATTCAAAGCTCAACTCGTGCTTATATATATATAACAAAATTACGCTAGGATGATGTGACAAATTTGAAAGGTCACGTGACATTAAAAATAATATGCTTACTGGTTTGTGAACTATTTTTGTTTTTTTGCAATTACAAATCAGTTTTTTTGAATTTATATTTTTTAAGTGTATACCTTTTATTCAGCATTGTTTTGTCCGATTTAAAAGTTTGGTCGAGTTTCAAGTTTGTCAACGTAGGCCTATAGGGCCTAGACGTACAGTGCACCCTCCAATGCGAGATCCCTCTAATTCCGAGACCCCTTTTATTCGGGACCACTTTTACAAAGGACCAAATAAAAATCTTCAATCTTTTAACACAAATCTGACCCTCGAAATGGAGACCAAACAAACATTTTCAGCCGGGTCCCAAAGGTGGTCTCGAACAATAAATGTAGATTAATCAAAGTCTAAATACTATTCATATTATTATTATTATCATTATTTTGTCACTTAACTTTAACTTTTCCCTTGATAATATAAAAGTGAAGATTGGGTTTCTTATCAAGTTTAGTCATCAAAATCACCCACACTGCTATCAAGAAGCAATCCAAGTAATCTTGAATGCTAACTGGTACACATGTAAATGGTATGACTAATATGGATGTATGGTAACCGTGCCAGTTAAAATTCAGTTTTACGATGTACGATGGTGAATAGCAGAAAGAAAAATATATGAAAACTATAGTGTAAAAATATTGATATTAATATTGTGTTTTATCTTATTTAAATCTAAATGGATCAAGGTCTGTCAAGAATGTTCTTTGGTGACAGTATTCCTAAATAAGGCTACGGTCACACTAGAGTCTCAAGCCTGGCTTGACTCACCACGGATGAGATTTTCGTAATGTGACCACACCTGGATCGACTCGCACCTGGTGTGACCTCGATTTCAATCTACCTATCTCGATCCCGGCTCAGCACCCAGATTGACCATGGCGTGACCGGGATTGACATTTCCTCGTCGGCTGTCGACCAATCACAGTCGATGACGCCATTGCGTTTAGAAGTTCTTGAATAAAAAACCTGCGAGTTCTTCATGTGTGTATTATAATAAGACGCAATCATCAGTTGTCATTTATAAATGCACTTATCAATCCGAAAACTAGCATCGCAATTACATCCGAGCCCAGGCCTAGATCATCCGATATACTGTCCATTATCATAGGTCTATGATCTACATCGATTATCCTAACCAGCAACGGTAGTAATGTGATTAACGAAGTCGGGTGCATGTGTTCGTATTCGATTTCAAGGAAGTAAAGATAGACCGCAAGAATGTCTGGCGCACAAGCTGGTATTTTGATTGTGGCAGCGCTCTAACTTCCTGTTTCGACTTTCCTTATTTGGAGGTCAATCCAACTAAATTCAGGTAGTGTGACCGACCCAGAATTTCGAGCCTGGCTCGAAATCTTACCCGCGGTAAGTCAAGCCAGGCTTGAGACTCTAGTGTGACCATAGCCTAATAATAATAGTTACTAAATAATCTACCTGTTTCACAGAAGGCGCCAGTTATTTTAGTTGTTATTAAGTAATAATAATAATAATAACAATAATATAAATTACCTTATAATGTTCAAAATTCACAATCCATATACACTTTTAAAAAACTCATAAAAAGCCATTATTTATCTGAACTTTATTATACATAGCTTTATTTATATGATGTCTTTTTTTGATTATTGAATTTGACTTTGTTGTTTTGATTATGTAAACTGTAATTTAAGTATTCTCATTTAGGGACCACAGTGGAATAAGTTGCTTTTTTGTACTTTTCTGTGTTTTTATTCTTGAATGTATTTTACTTATAATTACTTCAGAATTAATAAATAAATAAATAAAATAAAAAAATAAATAAAATAATAATATTCGAAAAATAACAATAATAATAATGATAATGATAATAATAATTATTATTATAAAAATATGATATATATAGCACCTTTCCAAAATGATCAAGGCACTTGTACAGTGACAAAATCCAACTAAAATTATAAAAAAAAACAATTAAAAAATAACAAGGTAACTGATATTATTAACAGATATAAAAATACAATTTATTAAGAAATAATAATAATAATAATTATTATTATTCTTATTACAAAAATATGATATATATAGTGCCTTTCCAAAATGGTCAAGGCACTTGTATAGTGACAAAACCCATATAAAATAATAAAACCATTATAATATTTAAAAACAATTAAAAAGAAACAAGGTAACTAAATTGGCGGCGTGCAAAGACTTGACCTGCTATTACTATTATAAAAATGTGATAAGTATAGCGCCTTTCCAAAATGATCAAGGCGCTTGTACAGTGACACAACCTATCTAAAATTGAAAAATGTTAAACAAAGTAAATAATAACAATAAGTAAATACAGTTAGTATACCTGTTTGACAGAAGGTTCCAGTGAAGCATCCACTGCAAGTACATGTGTAAGCTGTACAGGAACCAGCTACAGTGACACAAGCAGCTCCATTCTGACAGGCGTTGTTAGCACAAGCACTGGTTGCTATGTTGTCAAATGAAAAACACAGACGAGTCAGAATATAGTAGCAATAGAACAACAATTTGTCCATATTTACATGATTAAAAGCAAAAAACACTAAGACTACAATTTGCAGATACTGATCAATGATTTTATAGTTTGAATTTCAATCATTTAATTTTTATTTTAATTATTATTAAGTAATAGTAATAATAATAATAATAATAATTATTATTAAATTATAAAAATTTGATATATATAGCGCCTTTCCAAAATGGTCAAGGCACTTGTACAGTGACAAAACCCATCTAAAATTATAAAATCATTATAATATTTAAAAACAATTAAATGAAACAAGGTAACTGATATTATTAACAGATATAAAAATACAATAAGAATAATTTACAAAACCTTATAAAAAGTAAAGAAAGTTAGTATACCTGTTTCACAGAAGGTTCCAGTGAAGCATCCACTGCAAGTACATGTGTAAGCTGTACAGGAACCAGTTACAGCATTACAAGCAGCTCCATTCTGACAGGCATTGTTAGCACAAGCACTGATTGCTATGTTGTCAAATAAAAAACAAAGACGAGTAAGAATATGGTAGCAATAGAACAAAAATTTGTCCATATTTACATGATTAAAAACAAAAAATACTAAGATTATTTGCAGATATTGATCAATTATTTAGTTTGAAAAAAACATGATTTTATAGTTTGATCAAAGTTATCAAATTGATCAAAGTTATCAAATTGATCAAAGAATTTCATTTATTTTATTGCAAAAAAAGTAAATAAGATGTATTGTCCCTTGCTAATGTCAAAAAAATCATAAAAAATAATTTTGAAATAAATTTCCTCATATTGCAATAGCATACAAATTATTAACTTGTGCATAAAAATGATTGAATTAAAAAAATGTGTACCCTGATTTTTAAACCAAAAAATTATGATAAAAATTATAAAACACTTCCAGTGACTGGAAGTGTTTCTATCAATTTTTTTTGCTGTAAACTGATGAGTAGACATTTTTTAAATACACTAATATTTCTATGTTCAAGTTGATAACTTCAAAATGGGAGAGTCGATTGGCCGAGCGGTTAAGACAGGGGAACCGTGACATACAGCCATCGTATCGGCGTTGGTTCGAACAGCACGCTTGCCTATGGTTCCGGTGGTGGAACAAGTCTTCTCAGATAAGGACTATAAACCATAGGTCCAGTGTACACAATTGGCTCATGTGCACTTTAAAGAACCCAGTACATCATTTGAGAAGAGTAGGGGGTTACCCCGGTGTACTGGTCCATCTCTAGTCCCCTGTCCGGCCACAGAAGGAGGGCTCAGGACGCGGCCCATGTCAGTTATCCATCCTACCTGCGAATCCTTCTACCACATTACGTAAGCTAGATCATACACACTAGCTACGTAGTGACTCGATAAAGAAGAAGAAAGTTAATTTCAAAAAATATTTTTATGATTATTTTGGTATTTAGCAAGGGACAATACATCTTTAACATACGTGTTTCACAAAAGTTTCCAGTAAAGCATCCACTACAAGTACATGTGTAAGCTGTACAGGAGCCAGCTACAGCAACACAAGCACCTCCATTCTGACAGATGTTGTTAGCACAAGCATTTAGGCCTATAAAATGAATGAAGCGAGGAATCAATAACAACTATAAGCATAAATTAAAATCTACATTAACAAAAACAATAACAGTATTAAGTAGTAGTAATAGTAATAAATATAATAGTAATAGTAGTAATAATAGTAAATATAACAGTAACATCATTCAGTATAGAGTATATCTCCGCCCACAGCAAATCCCTTTCTATGAAATAAATCTCATAAAACGTGTTTCTAATACTAACTAGGCCAAATGGAAATGCCTTTTATTGTACTGTATTATATGGCTAACACTCTTCAACAGAAGTTAGATAGTGGTATTCCTGCCAATTCCTTACTTCTTAATAAATACACTGAAAGGTTTTACTTTTATACTGACAAATAAGTACATTCCAAGTATTGGTGTTGAAATTGAAAAATGATGTTAATATTCAAATTAATAAAAAAAAGAAAAAGAAAAGAGGAATTGGTGTTTAGGATCACATGTTTATATAAAATTATGCATTAAAAATATTCCAAATGCGTTTCCATAAAGTTACCGTAGTAGTGTAAATGCACCAATTTGAATATTCATTACACAGCTATCTGACTATGGTGTAGGACAAGAGGTTGCCCTTTCAATGGTCTCCAAATTCCAAATCCACATCCAATTAAGGATCATAATCTTCTCATCTTTGGGTCATACCAAACACTTCTTGTAAATTTCATTTCCATCTGTACAAGCATTTTTGAGATATTTTGAACACACACACACACCCACATATGGAAGTTCAAACACACACTTACAAAATTAGACAACTCAAAACATATAGCAGAGACAATATTAGTGAGAATTGTTTGGTTTGAATTTGATGTGAATGCAGCAAATGTGCCAATTCAACTACTATGTACACCCATCCATGCAGTCATAAATCAGTTCATTCACCTATCTTTCAAACGAAGACTTTACGAACAACTAAAATTCACACAACCCCATGTTCACCGAACCATGCAGTGCGAGTTTACCATCACTATAGGCTAGTAATAATATGTATACATTTTAATTATAGGAGGATTTCATATCATATGCAATAACAATAATATGTGTATTTACCTGTTTCACAGAAGGCCCCAGTAAAACATCCAGAGCAGCTACAAGTATAAGCTGTACAGGAACCAGGAACAGTGTTACAAACACCTCCATTCTGACAGAGGTTACCAGCACAAGCATTGATACCTGCAAAAATTATTGTTATTATATGTCATATATTTATTCCAAGCATCAACAATCACAAAGTTAACACATGTAAATCTGATTATAATGCAAAATAAAAGCAGAAACATGTTTGCCCAGGAAAATCCAAATGTAGTATATACAATCTTTTTGTGGGAAGTCCTAACAAGCAAACTGGCAACAGATACTGAATTGCATATTTCCAGGTATAAATGTATGCTTGATTGTGTTAAGTTCAAACACACACTCACAAACTTTACATGACTGGAAACATATGGTGGAGACAATAATGGTAGTATTGCTTGGTTTGAATTTGATGTGAATGCAGCAATGCGGATCCTACAAAATCAAGGTTGAGAGCCCAAAACAATTGCACCCTACAAGAAACATAGTCTCGTGGGAGGAGGGAAACAAATCTCTTTTAAAAATCCTTGATCATGTATATGACTATGTATTTACCTGTTTCACAGAAGGCCCCAGTAAAACATCCAGAGCAGGTACAAGTATAAGCTGTACAGGAACCAGGAACAGTGTTACAAGCACCTCCATTCTGACAGAGGTTACCATCACAAGCATTGATAGCTGCAAAAATATTGAAAATTTTCCAAAATGGTCAAGGCGCTTGTACAGTGACACAACCTATCTAAAATTGAAAAATCTTGCACAAAGTAAATAATAACAATAAGTAAAGAAAGTTAATATACCTGTTTCACAGAAGGCTCCAGTGAAGCATCCATTGCAAGTACATGTGTAAGCTGTACAGGAACCAGCTACAGCATTACAAGCAGCTCCATTCTGACAGACATTGTTAGCACAAGCACTGATTGCTAAGTTGTCAAATGAAAAACACAGACGAGTCAGAATATAGTAGCAATAGAACAACAATTTGTCCATATTTACATGATTAAATTTAAAGCAAAAAACACCAAGATTATTTGCAGATACTGATCAATTATGTAATTTGAAAAAAAAACCAAATTCTATAGTTTGATCAAAAGTAAATAAGTTAACATACGTGTTTCACAGAAGTTTCCAGTGAAGCATCCACTACAAGTACATGTGTAAGAAGTACAGGAGCCAGCTACAGCAACACAAGCAGCTCCATTCTGACAGATGTTGTTAGCACAAGCATTTAGGCCTATAAAATGAATGAAGGGAAGAATCAATAACAATTATAGCATAAATTAAAATCTAAATTACCAACAACAATAATGATAGTAAGTAACAGTACAGTAATAATAATAGTAGTTGTAATAATAACAGTAACAGCACTCAGTAGACAGTATATCTCCACCCACAGCAAATCCCTTTCTATAAAATAATAAAATCAACCTAATACATGTTTCTAATACTAACTCAGCCAAACGGAAATGCGTTTTATTGTACTATATTGTAAACACTCATTAAGAGAGGTTAAGTAGTGGTATACCTGCCAATTCCTTACTTCTTACTAAATACACTGAATGGTTTTACTTTTATACTTGACAAAAAAGTACATGCCAAGTATTGGTGTCATAATTGAAAAATTATGTGAATAGTCAAATTAATTAAAAGAAAAAGGTATTGGTTTTTAGCATCACATATTTAAATATAAAGATGCATTAAAAATATTCCAAATTTGTTTCCAAAAAAAATGAAGTTACTAGCGTAAGTGCACCAATTTGAATATTCATTACACAGTTGTTGTATCTGACGATGGTGTAAGACAAATAGGTTGTCATTTCAATGGTTTCTAAATATACACCCAATTATGGATCATAATAATCTCATCCTTGGGTCATACCTCACATCTTTGTAAATTTCATTTCCATCTGTACAACCGACAACACAAACACGAACACACCCACACCCACAAACTTACACAAATGAAAACATATGGCAAAGACAATAATAGTGAGTATTGTTTGGTTTGAATTTGATGTGAACTCGTGGGAGGAGGGAAACATCTCTCTTAAAAATTCTTGATCATGTATATGACTATGTATTTACCTGTTTCACAGAAGGCCCCAGTAAAACATCCAGAGCAGGTACAAGTATAAGCTGTACAGGAACCAGGAACAGTGTTACAAGCACCTCCATTCTGACAGAGGTTACCATTACAAGCATTAATACCTGCAAAAATATTGTAAATTTATGATATTTCATATATTCCAAACATCAGCAATCACAAAGGCAACACATACAAACACAGATAAGTATACAGAATGACAGCAATTGAAAGTGATTCACTTTTTGTGGTTTACAAAAAGCTTTTGGTTATAGAATACCAAGCATATGATCACAGGGTTCGTACATTTTTAAACAAGCAAATTTCCAGGACATGCCAGGTCAAATTTCAAAAACACATTATATCACTTAACAGTAAAATATCGGCAATATTATGATTCATTATAAAACATGTATGCTGTACTAATATTAAATGCATCTTAGTTGAGTGTATATTAAGTTTGATCTAACTGTAATTCTCAGGCGATGGATCTGTCTCTTTTTCTCATGTTTGTGGGAAATTCTGTTTTTCTTACACATGTAAAAATTGGTTCGGTAAGCAAAGGAATTCCCACGAGTATTGGAATGTACTGGTGAAGTAAGGCAGGGCTAATCACCTACAGAACTAATTCCAGAATTCTCTCTTTGGCAACACAATGTGTGCGTACAACTATGGTCTTATCTTATCGCTTAAACGTGTCAGTTCCTTTTGTGGTAGTGGCGT